CTTGTGCATGGGTGGTTTTAGCGTGGCCAGGCTTCCTTCAGCCTGGCTTGCATCGCACCACAGCCCCGTGTGGCTGGGAGGCCTCCCACAAGCTGCCGAGACGGGGCAGGCAGGGGCCGCACGGATTCGCACGTGCCCGTCTCTCTCTCCCGCCAGCTTGGGCAGAGCGACTGCCTTTACATAGCCACACGGGGCACCCCCTCCTCAGTGTGTGATGGCTGACCAGGAGGGGCATGCGCCCACCTGTCCATTCTGCTGCCCGGGTGGGAAGGAGCCGTTCTCTTGCTTCCCTCTCGGCCCTTCCTCCGGTGCATCCCGCGGGTGGTGCAGGGCAGGCGGGCGTTCTGGGCCACCCTGGCCGGGAATTTGACCTTGGGCAGCGGCCATTTTGTGCTCTGCCGGGGCTGCGAGGCCTGCGGTGCTGGGAAGGCTCTGCAGGCCGCGCTTTTCGGTCTCCTTTGGCATCGGGTTGCAGAGCAATCTCTTCACAGTGGCCCAGAATTTATAACCCGTGGATGGAGGCTGCAAGAAAGGCCTCCAGCGAGTCGAAGTCGGGGGAAAAGGCGACGGGCGACTGCCGGGGCACCTCATGCGCGAACGGCCCACTGGCAGCAACTCCATCTCGTTATGCGCTCCAACATCGGGTCAGCCGGCTTCAGCCCCGAGTAGCATAGCGGTGCAGGCAGGAAATCCGAATATGCGTGTGCCTGTGTGTGTACACAGATGTTTACATATAAATCATTCACAATACTTTCAAGACTGGTCCAGTGTCTCTCTCCTCATGTATTGGCTGTGGTTTTTCTTGTTGTTGTTTCCTCCTTTTTTTCTATATATGTGTTTGTGGTTCTACTCTTGTTTTGGACACCCTGCAGTTTTTCACTGTTGTTTGGTTTTGTTGGGAGGTTGGAATGATACGTAATTTTTGGAAATTGGAGGATAGAAATGGTAAATATATATCTTTAAATGTCATAGCAGCGTTTGGCAATCCAGGCGGGGTGGACTGCAAGTCCCATCCTTTCCCAGAGAAGGCAGGTGTTGGAGGCTGTGCCCAGGGACATGGACCTTTGGGGGGGCCCAGCAAAGCCCACATAGTGGTGTCCATTGCGCAGAGTCACTGGGGCAAGTGGGAGCAGACGGGGACCTGCCCGGTCACTGGCGCTTGGCCTGCAAATGCCTGACGTGTCTTAGTTTGTGAGGTGCCTTTTGTGCCACAACAGCTATTAACCACCCGCTGTAAAATTTTTGTCATCCGAGATCAAGTGCAGTGCAAAAGCCAGCATACCCCTCGAGGTCTTCAGGATCCAGCAGGCGTGTTAGTAACCCCGAAGAAGGCTGCTTCCCACAGCAGGGGAGCTGCATGATGGACCCCACAACTGGGGGGTGGGAAGCCCCCTCTGCAGAGCCTGCCAGCCATTCACAGATGGGGCACACTCCTACCGTGGCTCTTGCAACATCCACGTCCTGTTCGGCTGCCCCCGCTAGTCCTCTCCGATGCACACGATGGAAGCCCCCCCCCCGTGTTAATAGTGGGGAATCATCAGGATGGCAGCCAGTGACAAGCGGGGTCCCCCAGGGCTCTGTCCTGGGGCCGATCCTGTTTAAGCTTTTTATCAACCACATGGAAGAAGGGGTGAACAATCTGCTGATCAAATTCGCAGGCGACACTAAAACTGGAGCAGTGGCCACAACTGAGGAGCAGGTACTCCAGGTCCAAAAGGATCTGGACAGACTATGGAAATGGGCAGGAGACAACAGGATGGCGTTCAGTGTGGAGAAGTGCAAGGTCTTGCACTTGGGGCATAGGAATGGGTGTCATAAGTGCAGGTTAGGGGACAAGTGGCTGGAGAGCAGCACTTGTGAAAGGGACCTCAGGGTGCTGGTTGACTGTAGGCTGAATGTGAGTCAGCCGTGTGACGTGGTGGCCAAGAAGGCGAACGCCACCCTTGGATGCATAGCCAGAAGTGAGGCTTCTAGATCGAGAGAGGTATTACTACCACTCTATGTGACTCTGGTGCGCCTGCAATTGGAGTATTGTGCTCAGTTCTGGGCCCCTCATTACAGCAAGGATACAGCCAGGTTGGAGTCAGTGCAGTGTAGGGCCACGAGGTTGGGGGCCGGTTTGCAGGGGATGCCGTATGAGGCGAGACTGAGGGAACGGGGTCTCTTCAGCCTGGAGAAGACTCAGAGGGGATCTGTTGGCGACATACAGGTATGTGAGGGGGTGTCACATGGAGGTGGGTCGAGACCTGTTCTCCCCTGCAGAGGAAGGCAGGACACGCTCCAACGGAGCAAAGCTCAGGGAGCCAAGGTTCAATTTGGATGCTCGGAAGCACTTCCTGACAGTCGGGACCCCGAGGGTGTGGAAGGGGCTTCCATGGGAGGAGGTTGAGGCCCCACCAGTGCGGGTGCTCAAGGAGAGGCTGGACATCCACATGGTGGGCATGTCGTGAGCGGAGCGGGCTGGAGCCAGGGGTCAGACTAGATGGCCCAGGAGGCCCCTTCTGACTCACTCTGTTTCTCTGTTTCTAATTTGCTTTGCCACAGCCAGAGCTGCTCTATGGTGAAGGCGCAGGGGGCTTTTCTTTCCTCGCCACCTGCCCTCCGGAACCAGCCTGTGGGACGGCTGCGCGCCAGACACTCCTCAGTGCTCACGAATGGGCACTTGCACATCCCATCCCCATGCGGGTTTGAGCCCGGAGACGGTGCTTGGCCACGAAGGGCCAAAAACGGGGCTTCCTGATGTATCTGGGGCAGGTTTCAGAAAACCAGGACGCTGCTTATAGGGCTGTGGGGAGTTTGGCTTTGGAAAGGCCTAGCTCCTGCACTTGGGGGCGGAGGGGGAGAGCCTTCAACTGATCCAGGAGAAATGAGTCCAAGTGCCAAGTACTGGCGAAGGGAAGGGGAATGCGAGGCAGTGGTTCTCCTTCGCCCTCCCTACTTGTGGGGTGGAAAGGGCCCACTCTGGCGTCCCTGTGCTGCCAGACAAGCAAGGGAGGAATCTCCCTCCCACAGCAGCTCGCTTGCCCCCAGAAGGAATTGCATGACTCCTGCCGGCGCGCCGCCGCCGTGAGTGGGCAGCCCGAGCTCGGCAAGGCAAGGCAAGCCTCGTTTCACCCCAGGACAAGCCCTCCGGAGAAGGTGGCTGGAGCCGGTCTGACTGGTCTGAAAAAGAGCCTCGGCTGGTCCAGCCTAGCGTTTGACCTCGCGGCTGGGCTGCGATTCAGCGCTCGCTCCGGTTGCTTCCTGCAGAACGCCCACCAAGGCAAGGCCCAATTCAAAAATCGGTTTGCGCCTGGCTTCTTGCAAAAGGTCCTGCAGTCCCGTTGATTATCTGCTTGGGGTGCGCATGTCCCAGGGGCTTCCACCGTTCCTGTGACTCACCATCCTGTACACAACTCCCTGGAATAAATCCAGTCAAGCTCAGTGGGGCTCATTCCTGCGAAGGAATCCGCCAGGAACGTCTCCCATTCAGGCCCCATGGAAAGGAATGGCAGCCACAAAGGAGCTCTTCTGTGTGCAGTGGCCCAGGTCCAGCATCCACTGCTCCTGACATGTGGCAGCAACAGCTGCATTGGTTTGAACGCGTGACTGTCCCAAATTCCACAAAATCTACCCTGCAAGTGAGCCAAGCGGGGGAAAGAGCTCGGGGAGGTGGCTGGTGGCGGGCTCTGCTTCCCTTCACCAGCACACAGATGCCGCTTGCCAGCTTTTGGGGAGCAGAGGACTGCACGGGGGCGTCTCAGGGTCCCAGTGTGGGAGGGGCCGCCGGAGAAATCCTGCCCGACGGCTGGCTTTAATCATGTAGTTCAGCTCATGCGAGGATTCCCTTCTTCATCCTCGTTTCCCTTGCTGGACAGCCCTACTCTTCTAGGCCTTTATTTAGCTCGCTCTTCAAAGCTTGTCTTAAATGCCAAGTGATCCTTCGTGAAAGTCCTCTTGTGGAGCTTCAGGTGAAACAAGTGGAGCCGAGCGGACGGCTGCCCCAGGGATTAAGTCCCACTTCCCTCTGCAAATGATTGCGCAAGGGTCATGTTGCACACCCGATGCACCAGTTTTAACATCCCATGCGGTGGGTAAGATACAACAAGGGATCCAATAATTGCAATGAATCTTACACAGTGAGAAACCATGAAATGGTAGGAAATACTGAAGAAAATGTACAAACTCACATCTGCTGTTGGTAGGGTTTCCAAATGGCCCATTTCCGTGGACGAACCGCACAATCGGGCCTAGGAGATCTATTTTAGGCAAGATGGCGCTCTCGTTTTCTGGAGGGGGCAATGCCATGGCCAGCGGACTGTTGGACTGTGACCCCAGAAGGGAATGTACGGCACTGGGCCGGGCTGCAAGGATGTTGGAGACCACAGTCCATTCGGGACCCATGAATAGGAGCTCGGCTCCTCTGGTGGCACTTTGTCCATGCTCTCAGGTCCGATTCTTGCATTCTTGGCATACTCACTTAAAAGGGCCACAGAAGGAAGGGTGGCGGAGGCAGAAATGGGCCCCTGCACTTACAGCCAGTGATCCTGAGCCAGGTACGCTCTAGCTCTGGTCCGTTCCGAATCTCAGCACAGCCGCCTCCTTTGAATCAGGGACTTGCCCTAAGGTTGTGGGGATGTGCCATCAAGCCATCTCCAGCTTACGGGGACCCTCTAAATGGAAACCCCTCAAAACATCCTGACTGTTTAGCTTCCCCAGATTGGAGGCTGTGGCTCCCGTTATGGAGCCCATCTGCCTCATATTTGGCCTTCCCTTTTGTCTTCTGCCTTCTCATTGTCTGCTCCAGGGATGCTGGCCTTCTCATGATTGCCCAGGTGCAACAGCCTCAGTTTTGTCGTTTTTGCTTCTGGGGACAGCTCTGGCTTGATCTGCTGCAGGATCCCCTTGTTTGTCTTTCTGAGGCAATTTTCAGCGCTCTCCTCCAGCACCATGTTTGGACCACGTTTCAAATGCATCAGTTCCTGCCGGCTCTCTTCCCTGTGCAGCTTCCCCACCCGGACATGGAGATCGGGAGCACGAGTGCGGATGAGCTTGGCCTGCTCTCCGGTGAGACGCCCCTGCGCTCGACGGCCTCCTCGGGTTCCTTCGCTGCGGCCCTCCCACGCCTCGGCCTTCTTCGAATTTCTGGGCTGCAGCCTCCCTTCCAGAGCGTGGCTGAGCCCGACGATGCGACATCTTTCTGGGTTCTGTTTCTTCATTTTAACACTGAAGCTCCGCGCTCCGTCTGCGGAAGGACTTTTGCGTTCTCGCTGTTCGGCTGCAGTCCTGCTGTTGTACTTTCTTCTCGCACTTGTGCCAAGACTCATTTCAAGCCATCGCTACTTTCCGCCAATAGTCTGGTATCTTCGGCGTATCTGGAATTAGTGGCGTCTCTTCTGCCAATTTTCACCCCCCGCCCGATCCGAATCCAGCGTCGTTGTGCTCCGTTCTGCACCCCGCCTGGCGCCTTGGCCCCTGCTGGGCCTCACGTCCCGCCCTGGCTGTGGGGCAGGTCCGGCACCTGGACAGCCAAGGGCTGAGGCAGCCCCGTTCCTTTCAGGGCCGCCCAGAGCTTCTTGTGAGCCACGCGGCCAGAGGCTTTGCTCTGCTGCTCAGCTCACAGACAGGGGCCGTCTTAGCGCACGGGCCTGGTGGGCACTTGCCCGTGGGCCCCACACTAACCTGTGCGTGTTAACCCTTGGAAAATTGGAAAACTTCCAGAATTAACAGCAGTGGTCGTTGCCGTAGGGGCCCCAGCGCATTGCTTTGCCGGGGCCCATCATGCTGTTTGGGCAGCCCCGCTCATAGATGGATCTTCTTCTGGAATTCCTTGGTGTGCTTCAGTAGCCCTAAACTGAAGGCACCTGCTTTTTCCACTTCCACTAACATGGTTTGTCTCTGGCACCTCTAGACTGGACTCAGAAAGACACCTGCCGGAAGCTCCGGAGCGCTGGTGTAGGCCAGGAGGGAACCTGGGCCTGCATCCAAGCTCACTTCCTGTAGGAACTCTTGCTCCTCTTTGATCTGTGATTGAGCTAATTGTGCTTGTGCAAGTCCAGGAACTCAGCTGGTCTGGTGCTGGAAGGGACCCTGACCCTTTCTCTGTGCCTCCCGCAACAACTAGGTCAAGGGACAGGTTGGGTCACGTTGGCTGTGGGGTGGCCACCTCCCCTTATGCAATCTGGACGTTGGGGCCAATATTCACAGCTCCCCACAGAGCAGCTTCCCGTGTCCCTGTAGCACTTTTAATTCACAAGAACTGTAACTAGTTGCGACCACAACTGTCCTGCAAGGAAGGCAGGTGCTGTTCCCATTTCACAGATGAAGTACCGAGGCTAAGCAGCAGGGTTTCCTCCGGTGTGGCTGGAGCATACCTTCGCGCGTGCCAGGCGGGGGAGCTCAGCAAGTCCTTGCTGGCCGCTTTCCAGGTCATCTCCTGTGTGGCTGGCGTGCAATTTCTCCCACCCTCCCTTTCAAGGGGACAAGCTGTTTGAACAGCCTTCACAGGGGAAGCAACACGTTGTTTAGTCTAGAGAGGTTTGGCTGTTGGGAGGTACAAGTGAAACAGTCAGCTGAGCAAAAGCAGCCAGGGGTCCTGCAGTCCCTGAGAGAGCAGCTGCAGAGGAGCTGTGCCGTAATGCCCCGTTAGTGTCTCAGAGGCCCCAAGTCCCATCGCTGTTAGCATGACGTTTGTGTGCGAGGCTCCGACTTCACTGCACCCCAAAGAAGCGAGGCTCACGCCGCGCCGTGTCCTTCCGCAGAACTTCTGAACCCCCGATTAAACTGGGACTTGAACCCTGGTCCCATCCCCAGTGTCCGCTGGAGAAACAGCGAAGGCACCTTAAAGGTGAGCCCACATCCTCTGGCCTCAGCCTTCGCCAGGTGCAGTCTCTGGCACCAGGTGGTTAACGGTAAGGGAGATCCTGGTGCACCTTGGCAAGGTGAGGGCCCCCCCTTTGGGCAGGAGGGGGCGCACAGCTGCGCTCGCTTTCCCCAGTGCAAAATGGATGGTCAACGGGGAGGCCTGGTTTCGTGTGCAGCCCCAAATGTCCAGCACAGATATGGCCAATATTGTATTTATGGGAATTTTAGCAGTTGCCTGAATGTGGGGTTCTGAACATTTATAGAATTATGGCACAGCATAATTCTAGAAATGCTTTAAAAGCCCAGCAGGTAAGAAAGAAATGTGCAAGGGGAGCAGCGAAGCCCCTGGCCTCGGTTAGGGTTTGTGGAGGGGGCCCCTTGGGAGCATTTTCAAGGGAACCTCGATGCCTTCACCGTCTGCCCTGGGGCTGGCCTGCCCCCCCACCCCCAAGCCCTGGAGTCGTTCCCCGAGGAGAGCCCGCCCTGGCCGGTTCCAACCCACCGGCGTGCCTTGAGGGGAAGCCCGGTGCGAGGGGCGGCAGTGGACGGGAAATGCAAGCCATGTAGTGGTGAACTCCTGTTTCCCCTTTTTTCCCGGGGGGACCTGTACCCCTTCTGGGGAAGATGCCGGCCACCTCTCAGTTCCAGCAAGGAACGATAAAGGACCTAATTCTGGGCTCGTAATTCCAGAGACCATGACTAATGTTGATTGGAGCGGAATCGCCGTTTTGCATCTGCTCCGAATATTCCCACTGATGTCAACCGGACAGGAAGTGAGCCTGAGGCGGGGAGCGGGTAAACGGGCGGTGCCGGGCTCCGTGTCCCAGCGGGACGCTCTGCAAGCGCTCCCGGCCGCCGTCCCGCTTTTGCGGCGGCTCTCCAGGGCGGCGCCCCCTCCCTCGGCCCTCATCGGGAGCTGCCCGGGCCCTGGGGGCGCCCAGCCCGGCACGGTCGCCGCGGGCGGGCAGCCACGCCTCGCTGAAGTTCGGCAGGGCCCTTTCTCCCGGCGCCAGAGGCCGCCGCGGCCCCGCCCCTCCCTCAGTGACAAAGCACTCTGCACATGCTCAGGGGCGGCCCCTTCCACCGCTCTGTGCGTTCCCCGGGGCGCCGCTCGCCGGCCGCCCTCGGCGGAGGAGGCATCCGGCACACGCTTACGCGTTCCGGTACCAGGACTTTATTTCACTGGCTCGCAGCCCGGAAGGTCCTGGGCCAGCCAGGCGCTTCTGCGGGCGGGGTCGCTGCGGAGCCCGGCGCGGAAGCGAGCGCGTCTGCGATTCCCCCGCCCCTGCCGGCCCGCCCGCCCGCCCGCTCTGCCGGAACAGCACGCCGGGCCACGTGCTGCCCTGGGACTCGCGGCGAGGGAGGCCGGCGCAGCGGCGCGCGGGTCCCCGGCGCCCCCCCGCGAGCCTCGCGCCCCGCGCCCCGGCCCTCCCCGCGGCGCG